TCTAAAATCTAACTTACACGTTTTCAAGTTTGAAAAATCTGCGTAAATGGCCAAAAGGATTGATATCATATAGGATAATACATGTTGATTCTGAGGAATGATTTTTCTTCTTTAACATATCGGAATTATATTATAAAAGGATATGCTTAGTGCCAATGTATTGTAGTTAAATATATCTCTTTGTTTTCATTCCATTTCTATCATCTTTTATGAAAATGGAGAAGAAAGTTGGGATAATTGGAGCAGGCATAAGTGGTCTTCTGGCTTGCAAATACACATTGGAGATAGGTTTGAATCCTGTGGTGTTTGAAGCCACAGAAAGGGTTGGTGGAGTTTGGGGCCATACCATCGAGTCTACTAAGCTCCAAAATGTTAAAGAGACATACCAGTTTTCTGATTTCCGGTGGCCTAATTCTGTGAAAGAAGCACATCCTACTCATACTCAGATGATGGAGTATCTTGAATCTTATGCTCGACACTTTAACCTCTATCAATGCATTAAATTCAACTCCAAGGTCATTGATATAGATTATGTTGGGGAATCATATGAAGAAATGAAGTCATGGGACTTTTGGGGTGGAAATGGTAGGGCTTTTGGGTCCAAAGGGAAATGGCACATAAGAGTGCAACATACTAAAAACGGCACCTTAGAGGTATAGTCTCTTTTATTTTCAGCATGCACCACTTCTTCAAATAAATATGCTCTCTACATTTGGTAATGGATTAATTAATTTCTCAGGTGTACGAAGCTGACTTTGTCATTCTCTGCATTGGACAATTCAGTGGCTTTCCAAACATCCCCGAGTTCGGAGAAAATCAGGGACCAGAGATCTTCCATGGCAAGTTGATGCATTCCATGGAGTATTCTGCTATGGAAAGGCCAAGATCAAAAGAACTTATAAGAGGAAAAAGAGTCACAATTATTGGTTCACATAAATCTGCAGTGGACATAGCAGCAGAGTGTGCTAATATAAATGGTCCAGACCTTCCGTGCACAATGATCCGAAGAAGTTGCCACTGGTTTCTCCCCAGCAACTATACCACTGTATTTGGAATCAGTCTCGGGTTTTTATACGGCAATCGTTTCTCAGAGTTAACCACACACAAGCCTGGCGAAACCTTTCTACACTGCATTTTCGCTACATTACTCTCTCCCTTGGTAACTCCATGACTCATGATGTTTCTCTTCGTTTTCACAACATTTAAAGTTTGTACTGATGATGTTGTTTTGATATTCAGAGATGGGTGATTTCGAAGTTTGTTGAGTTCTACATCAAATGGAATGTCCCATTGAAGAAGCATGGGATGGTACCCCAACATAGTTTCTTTGAGGACATTTCCTCGTGTCAGATTGGGATGCTACCGGAGAACTTCTATGACAAAGTAGAAGAAGGAAGCATTGTTTTGAAGAAAGCACAAAGCTTTGCATTCTGTAATCAAGGTTTGATCCTTGATGGAGAAGCAAAACCTCTAGAAACCGATGTTGTTATTCTTGCCACGGGATATAAAGGTGACCTAAAGCTTAAAAGCATTTTTGCATCTCAAATGTTCCAAGAACTCATGATGGGATCCGCCGATTCTATAGTTCCTTTACACAGGTGATTGTATTATCCTAATATTGTATGTATCAATATAGATGAAAAATTATTGGTATACATTCAATTCAATATACTTGTTAACATCCATTAGTTTAACAATTAAAATCTATAATTTTAAAGTTTTTATATTTAATTTAAATTTAAAAATAACTATTTATTAATGAGTGTATTATAAAATATATTGAATCGAAATATTATACCAATGTCCACAAATGTTATTACTATATATGAATGATATTAATTACAGTGATAGAATTAATGCCCGATCGTTTAAGTTCTCATGACAACTAGAGCATAAGGTTGATATATGTATTATTCTTTTGTGTAAATGCAGGCAAATAATTAATCCTCGGATTCCAGGACTAGCAGTTATAGGATACTCGGAAAGTTTCTCGAACTTGGGTTCGTCGGAGATGAAATGTCAGTGGCTAGCACACTTCCTATCCGGAAACTTTGAGCTGCCAAGTATATGGGACATGGAGAAGGAAATTAGGGTGTGGGGAGATTACATTAAGAAGCTCGCAGGGAGGCATTATAGGAGGTCTTGCATTAGTAACATTTACATATGGTACTGTGACCAATTGTGCAAAGACATTGGATGTAGAAGTAGAAGAAAGAAGGGATTTTTGGCAGAACTTTTCGAGCCATATGGACCAACTGATTACGCTGCTCTGTCTTCTGTGTCGACTAAATCAAAAACTAGCTAACCATGTGCTCCACTACTAGGCATGGTTGATGCACTA